ATTCAGTTAGTAGAAAGGGCATCTTACTTCTCTCAATTCTCTAAGAGAAACCAAGCAAGTCTCTGAGGTAGTAAATATAAAAAAAAAAAATCTGGTAGGACAACTGGAACTAAACAAGGTAAAGAACTGTGAAAATACTTGTCTAACTTACTTTACAAAGAATGTAATTAATTGGAACCCCAACAGCTTTCCACTAAAAGCTGTTCACTCGCCACACCCACGCTATTTACACACACTCACACACATGCATTAACAAATTAAGGTGACTATTTAAGGATAAGGTCTTAATACATTCAACTGTCCATGGTAACTTTTTATACAGGTTTTCCTAAATACCTGTTTAATTACTATTCAACCTCTCACAAGAGCTATTACAAGCAAAGCACAAGCACTTAGTCATAGAACGTCAATCTCAGGTCATAAGATCCATTACTCACACAAGACAGATGTTACAGATGTTACAGATGTTAAAGAATGACGTGAAGACCCCGAAGAATGCATGGCATTTTGGCAAAACCGTTCCTCTCCTGGGCTCAGATTCACCCACTGCTAACGCCTATGACGCCCCCTTTAATCTGAGCCAACAACTGAATCTCCATCTACATCTTGCCAAGATGCAAAAGGTGGTGACTTACTAAGAAAAGAATGAAAGGGCTCCCTCTGTGTGTAGGTGGAAAAAAGTAAACTCATCTCAGACAAAAGCAAGGTGTCAACCAACTGGCGCTTTCTGGCTCCTGTGCTAACTGGAGGTGCTCCAAGGGGCTGGGGCCACGGGCTCAGGAAGCTCTGGTCCAAGGTGGGAACCAGTGAGGCTGTCATGAGGGTGTCACTTGAAATGCATGATGGGAAATTCCAAAGTGAGACGGCAGATGTGGTGGGTGGGGATGAGAGCCCACAGCGCCCTCCTCTCTCTGACTAGCCTGCCGTGTTGATGGGAGCCTGGTGAAATGTACAGCCTACAAACGGATGTTAAAGAAATGTGCGGCCCACGTGCGTGGATGGACACTTTGGCTGGACTTCAGAGTTTTCGGGTGACCTTCACGTCATTCACTTCAGACAACATAGCTCATCATGAGTCAAGCCCACGTCTTACCAACAGCAAGTGCACCTGGTCGAAGGCTATGCCTGTGGACTGTACATTTCTACTATCAGGAAAGCCCTGGCCTACAAGATTGAGTGACTCATCAGCCATCTTTGACAGCCATTTCATTCAAGTGACACCTGGGGATCAAAGACCACGAAACACCCAGAAATCTGTTGGAATCGAGTTGAGACCTTTGGTGTCTTACAAGAAAATATCTTAGAATCCACTTCCCCAAGCCAACTGTCCAAACTGAAAAGTGGAACACCAAGTATCACCACCAGACAGATGTAAAGAGTAAGAACTGACAACTTCCTCTCCTCCATTAACACGCTGTAATCCAATTTAGGAACATAGGCTACAGGTAGAAAATCTCAAGTATTCCAGAATGTAAAAAAAATCAAGGTGGAAAGGTCATCAAGAGTGGTCAAGAAAGTCAGTCTGATCGAACACATGAAATCCACTCACCCTGACACAAGAAATCCAATGCTATGGGAACACCACCCACATGTCACCATGAGGCCAGAGCACAAGCTCCTTTCCTGATGTCACCAAATTACTCATATTGGGAACCCTATATTTTACCTTTATTCTTGCTAAGTGACAAGGATGCTGCAGAAAGATTAAGATAATGAAGCTACAATCAAAGAAGCTGCAATAAGGTAACGATGCTACATAAAGACTAAGAAGCTGCAATGATGCAAAGATGCTACATAATGACAAAGATGCTGCAATAAGATAAAATGCTACACACAGATGCTGCGATCAGATCGAGATGCTACATAAAGATTAAGAAGCTGCAGTAAGATAAAGATGCTACATAATGACAAAGATGCCGAAATCAGGTAGAGAAGCTCACTAAGCTGCTGAATGACAAAGATGCTACTGAAGGCAGGAGCCATGGGGCACAGCTATGTCCTTTAGCTAAAGACTGAAGTCACATAAGGCTTCTTCCACTACAACTTGAGAATTAAATGGCAGCCACACCTGATGTCCCTCCTGACTGCCCAGTGCCTGTTGTCAGAGCCTGGTTTCCTGAAGGCATTCATTCACCCACACTCACTCCAGAGTCAGTGTCCTGGGACTGATGTCAAATGCTGCTGCTCTGCTCTAAGCCAGCCACGTCCTCTCACTGCCCTGTGACCTCAAGCAGGACTTCCGGGCTGCAATGGCTACAGTGTCCCTGCAGGCACCACCGCTCGGCCCTGTCTGGGAGCAGGGGGCTCCATTAGAGATCAAGCACGGAGTTGGGTGGGACAGGCCTGGATTGTCATCACACGTTTCCACTGTAGGGGAGTCACTGAAGGTTTGTAAGGGCTGTACCGTTAACATTAGAAAACTAGTTAATGCCACACATTTCTTGAACATTTACTGTGTAAGACCTTAAACCAAGGGCAGTGATTTTCAACCTTTCTCATCTCATAGCACGTAAGCCAATTAGTAAAATTCAGTGGGCCACCAAAATATACAATTTTTGCCAATTTGACCAAAAGTATAATTTTGATTAATTCATACTGAACAGCCATTGTTGCGTGGATTCTCATAATTTTCTATTTGATGGTTTAAGGGAGGGTGAGTTACATGCTTTAGAAATTTCGGAGCACATGGGTTGAAAATCGCTGACCTAGGTGACAGACAAGATCAATTGTCCTCAAACAGGAGCTGTGTCCATGGCAAGGCATGTTCCATACAGCCGGCATGTTGGTCAACGTGAGGCCTTCACCTAGCCACCACTAGATACCGAGAACGCGGGTGTCGATGTTCCATCCCAGCGGGTGGGCAGTCTCCATGCCTGGCATCCGCTCCCTCCGCACGTGTGCCTGTCGGGGTCCGTGGGTGGGCCTCCTTTGTTGCCTCCAACAGCACAAATATGTACAGAAGAGAAAAGGATGCGCTTGAAATGTGTGTGAAGGTTGTACGGAAAGATGTTTGAGGAATGAACGTGTGTTAACTGCCATGGAAAGTATGCTAAGTTGTCATGTCAAGCCATCACTTCCTATTGACCAGGTGTGCTAGGTGTGTGTGAGGCGCATGACTAGATTTCAGTGACACATCCAAGCTCATGTTTTGAGATCATGAAGTTCAGACAAGGTCCTGTGTCATCATGAACCTAGCCACGGCCTTTGCAATGCACGCGGGCGTTTCTGTGCGCGGTTACTTTACCTGGAGGGGGCGGGTCTGTCCGAAGGGCAGATGTGGCAGTGCTGGCTCAGCAGGACACGGGTCGCATCCCTCCTGTCCAGGTGTCACTGTGGGGCAGAAAGGGCCTGCGTGAGCCTGGACAGGTTGTATTGTGCCACCCCCCACCCCCCATCCCCCACCCCATCACGCCTTGTCCACTGGCTTCATACAACTCAAATCCTCAGCATTACTGCCGGGTGCCAGGCCCAAGGTAAGTAGGCGGCAACTATGACTAAGAAAACACCTAGCAACGTATCAGCGGGTGATAGCCTTCCAAACCTCACGATTCAGTAGCAACTATAATGAACTATAATGACCTACTTGATGAATGCAATAAAGTTTTATTGAAAATGAACACAAGCCCTTGCCCAGAGCTTGAAGCATTGTCGGGCTGTAATATCCTTTTATTAAAAAAAAATCAGTTAATTAAACACAGAATACCCAAAAAACCAAGCCTTAAGGCAGACTCCTACTTGAATCTATGGTACTACCCTGTACTTCTAAGTGTTGTGTGCCTTTACTGACGGAAGACCCTCCCAGAAGCAGGGTTCTGGCTGGCATCTCAAGATGTCTGCCTCCCGTAGCTGTGTGACTAAAACCTAGAGGCCCCCTGCCTGCAGTCAGATGTCTTTAAATCGCACAGATAGCCCAAACCGGTTTGGCTCAGTGGATAGAGTGCCGGCCTGCGGACTGAAAGGTCCCAGGTTTGATTCCAGTAAAAGGCATGTACCTGGGTTGCAGGCACATCCCCAGTAGGGGGCGTGCAAGAGGCAGCTGATTGATGCTTCTCTCTCATGGATGTTTCTGACTCTCTCTCTCCCTTCCTCTCTGTAAAAAAGTCAGTAAGATATATTTTTAAAAAAATCGCACAGATAATCCTCCGGTTATCCCGGAGCAGAGCACCCAGAAAAGGGGTCCTGACACACCAGTTACAGGCTGTATCAGGTTGTGCGATCTCGGCTGCTGAGGGAAGGAGCAACTCTTTTCCTCGACTGCAAACCAGATGCCTCACACCTCTGCGCTCCATCATCAAACCCAAGTGACACAATGGACGTAGTGTCCACTGTCCTTTAGGGTCTGAGGAGCACCATGTCCCTCTAATACAGCGGTTCTCAACCTTCCTAATGCTGCAACCCTTTAATACAGTTCCTCACGTTGTGGTGACCCCCAATGTCATTGTTACAAATGGAACGTAATTAAAGCATAGTGATTCATCACAAAAATATGTAATTATGTGTTTCCCAATGGTCTTAGGGGTAGCGGCCCACAGGTTGAGAACAGCTGCCCTAATAGGAGCCCCTGCCCCCTACCCATTCTCCCCAAAGCTGAAGTGTGAGTCCTTACCTGTGGGCACGAAGCGGTGGTCACTCCCAGATGATGGCCACTGGTCAGGGGCAGAGCCCGGGATAAGCAGACTAGGGCGGGCTTCCTGTTCCTCAGGCGTGATCCCCGTCAGCTTCCTCTCTCCGTGGCCTCACAAGCCCTCAGCCCATCCCAGCCCTGCAGGTATGTAGGGCCCAACAGGTACAGAGACTGTGTGCCTATCAGCTCACCACCTAAACGCATGCATGTGGAGGCCGTTACAATCGCCAAGGCCCAGCGCGAAGGTTAGAACACAACACCATGTCCTGAGAGCGCAGCAGGCCTCCGCTCGCCCCGCAGGATAAATCCAACAGGAGAGAAGGCCCGTGTCACTCTGACCTCAATAAACAACAGAAGGAATGCACACAGCCCTCAGTGTGTTGCTCTATCGTTTATTAGCGACTATCAGTGCGGCAGGACAGCTCACAAACACGCTACAGTTTCACGAGACACAGTGCAGAGAGAGACTAAGGACAACAGTAGCCTAGGGTCTTGGTGGACGCATTCCTGGGGGAGGTGGACCTGGAAGACAAACAAGACCGCATGAGACAATCATCAGGGGCGCACCCGGAATCCAGGGGCCTCTGAGCCAACTCACCTCTGATCCCGGGGGGCGGGGGCCTCATTCCTGGAGGAGGCATGCCGATCGGGGTCCCTCGAGTAGGGGGAAGCCCAATGGGTGGGCCCATGGGTGGTCTCATACCCGGTGGAGGAGCCATAATGCCTAGGACAGGAAAATAAAAAAAAATGACCCACAAATTCAAAAAATATGAATTGACAAAGCTGCAACCAACGTGGCCGAGGTGCCATCTGCCACTCAAACACCCTGAAGCCTTGCCCCTGGACGCCAGGAGGCCAAGATCGGCGTTTGTTCCCAGTTCCTGTCCATGATGCTCTGCTGCCAGACCTACCCCCATCCATTCCTTACCTGGAGGGGGGGTGGCCCGGCCCACAGGGGTGGGAGGTGTCCCCCGCCCCGGGGGGTACTGAGTCGGGGCTCCAGCAATGCTGGCCGTGGCTGCCACCGCGGCAGCCGCAACGGTGCCTCGTCCCTGTGGAGTCATCACCTGGAGAGGACGCCAGAGACACCCGGTCATGCCCGTCCTCCCTCGTTCAGACAGAAGATCAATGGGGGTGACGAGCATTTGGAAGTCCGACACCCACAGCCCTTTGTGCAAGTCCCATTCACAGGTTAGAACGCTGCTCCAGCGCCAGCACCTCCTCTATTACACACGCCCCCTACCGCGTGGGCCCTGTGGCAGCTCCTCACTGCGGCTGCCCTGTCTGAGCTCACGCCCACTCCTCTGGCTCTGGGCACGGCCCCCAGAGCAGACTTCTTGTTTCCTCACCTGCTGGGAGGGTCCCCCTACCCCTCGGACAGGGCCTGCTAGTCCCGCAGGAGCCTGTGGAATAGGAACGCCAGCTGGGACGCCTCTGCCAGCCGCCCGGCCAACCCCAGGGCCTCCTGCAGCCCCGGCGAGGGGGACGCGAGCGATGCCAGTCTGAAACCAGGAACAGCTTGAAGTCAAAGGACCACCAGAGCGAAGCCATCCTCCTATTCCCACCCTCAGTCTCCTGTCCCGTTAAAGGACACCACAGGCACCTGCAGCTCAGCTGCTAATCCATCAAATGGTGCTCTTCTATGGGGCTGCCCGACAGCCAACAAAAGCCCCCACATCTATGGGGCACCCGGCAGTCCCATGTTCACCACCAGGCGTGCAGTCAGATGGGGCACATGGGCCTAGGACCCCTCGTGCCTGCTGTGCTCAGTAGAGCAGCCACCCTGTGCCGTCCCCACCCCGTCCCCATCCCTGTCTGCTCGCCCTGCTGTCCTTACGTCTTTAGGGGGAGGGCCCTCCACAGTCATGGACACCAGGTTCTCCCCGCGCAGCAGCACGAGGCCCAGCACCCGCTTCTCTTCTCGCTCGGGCTGCTTGGCGTTCTTTGGCCTGTAAACCGGAGTCTGTCTCAGTCACCCCGGAACCGAGCGCGCTCTCCCAAAGAGGACTAACCACGAAACAACACGCAGACCTTCTGTGTGGGAGAGACGCAACTGACTGGCTAAGACCATCAGGCAATGACAGCCTCACTGTGTTCCCGACGGGAAGCTCTTAAAATCATGTTTAACTGAACATCGTAGGTAACCAAGAAGGAAGGGGACAGTGATAAGCCCCGAGGGCCAACAGATAAAGAGGTTGATTAACCACGTGACACCCTGGCCTCCCCTTTCCCACAAAGGGCCATGGAAATGGGTGCCAGTGACCTCCCGTCAGCAGCAGGACTGCAGGGTGGGGAAGCAGGACCCGTGTTCCTATGGGCGAGGCCACCAGGCTCCTCCCACGGAGCAGAGGCGGCTGGACAGACAGTGGCCTCCACAGGACTCACTGTGGGTGGATGGTCCCTGCTCTGAGCAGAGTGGACAGACAGCGTCTGGCTGGTGTGCCTCCCTGGCTGAGATCTGCCCGACCCTGGAGGTCAGGGCGTGCGGGGGGCACCTGATCAATGATGATCAGGGATGTTTCTTCCTATTTCCCCCCCTCCTCTGACAGCCACGCAAACTTAGAGAGACACCGTGAGAAAGTGGCCTCACTTGATCTTGCGGAACTCGTCGCAGTCGCAGAGGATCAGGTTCATGTGCTTGTCGAAGGCCTTGAAGGTGCCGATGAAGATGCGGCCGTCCTGCAGGATGCAGCGCATGCGGTAGTCGATGTGCTGCAGCATCTTGCTGCTCTTGCCCACCGTCTGCAGGGACAGGAGTTCGTTGTGTCCACAGCTGCCCTCCCTCCTGCCTGTCACCCCCGTTCCCTCCCCTCTGGTTTCTCCCCTGACTGTCCCCATGTGGCCTGGGCCCCTCTTGCTGCGGACCCTCCTCCCAGATCCTGCCTTTGCCCCGCCCCCACCTGACC